CCCTCTCCCCTTCCCTCTCCTCCTTCCCCCCTCTTTCATTGTCTTTTCTTGTTTGTTTTTGAGGTTTTTAGTCTTTTTATTTTGTTTTGTTTTTAGACAGGGGCTGTCTATGGTCCCAGCTGGCCTGGAACTTGCTGTGTAGATCAGGCTGCCCTTGAACTCACACGATTCACTTACCTCCAGAGGCTTGGGATTAAAGGCATGTACCATCACACTTAGGTCTAAAGTTTTGGGGTTTTTTAGTTTTCTTGCTTGTTGGTTTTGTTTTGTTTTGTTTGTTTGTTTGTTTGTTTTCAAGACAGGGTTTCTCTTTATAGCCCGGGCTGTCCTGGAACTCACTCTGTAGACAAGGCTGGCCTCGAACTCAGAGATCTGCCTGCCTCTGCCTCCCAAGTGCTAGGATTAAAGGCATGCACCACCACTGCCCGGCTGGTTTGGTTTTTTGACAAGGTCTCCTGTAGCCCAGTGTAGAGGAATCTTAATCCAGCAACACAGCTGCTCTGGCAAGGAATCACATCTAAAGACCTTCTAGGTCTGTGTGATCCAACTGGAATGACACACCTTTGATCCCTCTGGCTAGAACACAGACCTGTCCTTAGTCTCAAACAATGAAGGTAAGGTTAGTTTGTAGAAGAAAGCAGCCATTTTGGAAGTGATGTCTAATTGAGGGGTAGACAAAGTGAGAAATCAGAGAAATATTTGAGAGAAAGAGTCAGAGACAGGATACACCCAACTCTCAGTAGAACAGACAGGAAAGAGAGGTGACTTAAGGACAGCAGAGAATGAGTTGTGGGGGAGGGCAATTCAACTGAGTTCACACAATCTAAGCAGTTGATGCAATTCAGTTCATGGAATTCAGAGGAAATTTTTCCAAGCAGAACAATTCAGTGAAAATCAAAGAGAAGCCAGTTTGAATCAGTCAGCTGGAGAGGATTTTTGAGCCAGAACAGCTGAGTTGAACCGGCCAGCCAGAGTTCAGAAAGAACTAGAGAAGGTGAGCTTATAGAGCAGTAAGCTTCCGAGATGACAATTACATCTAGCAAATAAAAGCAACCCTACACAAGTAGGGTACACATGGCTAGACTTAAACTCTTAAACCTAGTTCCAAAATAGGATTATAGATCTGGGCCCAAGTACCCAGTTCAGTTCCACTTGGCATCCTAATTTGGAGAGACACCACCATGAATTCTCCACGTTCCACACTCTGTATTAACTTGAACACATTGTAACCAGACCATTCTTGTGTGCTCCCTCCAAACCCCAAATCCCAATTCCCCTTCAGACAAGGGCTTCTGTAGGCCCTTTTACAAGAATGCAATGCTTCTTTCTGTGGCCATATACATGTTTCTCCCTCAAATCTCTCATGCCACATGTCAAGGATCCAATACAGATCATATCAGTTGCTGACAGCAATTGAGCATTCTAGAACTGGAAAAAAACACCACTGTGTTTAAGTGCTCATTGGATCCATTGCAAATGACCTGTGCTTAAAATCCATCATCTCCATAAGTTCCTAACTTCACTACTGGACAAAGTGACATTTAGAGTATCCGAGTATTGGCATTGATCCAGAAACAGTATCAGCATTCCTGGAAA